AAGCCTCCAACGGCTTCTCTCATGCCATGCTTGCCTTCTCTAAGGTCTTCAAGGGCCCAGGGCCACGCCGCCTTGCATCTAGGGTTTGTCATTTGGCTGTTCTTGGCTACTTCAATGTGATTTCGAGCAAAATCACGTTGTACTTGTTACGGTCCTTAGGATTCTAGACAGGTTCTTTCATCTCTACTTGGGTTTCTTCTGAAACCCTAATTTCTGCCTACATCTCCTAGATCTGTACAATTTTAAAATGATTTGAGTCTGTTTCTTTGATGTTTTACACTATCCTTGGAACTCTTTACAAGAATCATCTATTCCAAAGTGTTTTCACCTTCTTCTGAAATTAGGGTTTTCGGACCTTCTTCTAAAACTTTATTTAAACTGATTTTTATGTTTAAACTTCTATTTTCTCGCATACTTCAACTGATTCTGTGAGTTTACTACCTCTTTAACTTGCCTATGTTGAAAACCCTAATTTTTCTAGGTTTCTTCGTTTGATTTTGTGACTAGCTTGTTCTTGTTGAGTTTCTATGACTATCTCGCTTCGAATGTGTTTCTACTGAGTTTCTTATGCCTAACTTATATCACCTCTATGTGCTTATGATCATCTTGACTGTTCAGACTTTCCTCTTTCTATTGATACTGTTTAACCCGCATGTTTGCTATGTCTGGTTATTCTTATCTTCTCTATTTATATGCTGAATATTGAATCGTGACATCCTCTTTGATTGATTCTGGATTCCCTATTTTTATGGTTTGATTGAAAGAGCTTCCATTAAACCTTCAATTTCTACCGCTTCTATTCGAATTAATTGATTCGCCTACCTTGTCTGTTGTGGTACTTTATTCTTACTGACTATTTCCTTAATTAGAGTGTTCTGAACTTAGCCCTAATTGTTTACCCTATACTTACTAAATTTGAATCTTTCCTTATTAGTCATACACTGATTTCTTTCCTTATCTGTTACTTGTTATTACCGTTTGAATTAATTCCCTTAACTTAAGGTAGTACTTGTCCTAATTTTTCTCTAATTGATTCTGAGCTCCATAATTACTATGCTACTATGATTCTTAACTTATTTTTATCTAATTTCGAACTACTATATATACACACGCTCTAATTAACACAAAGACACAAATATTTTGGTTCAAAAAGCTCTCTCTCACACTTAAACTTTCTGCTCTCTCTTTTGTGCTACTTGCTATTATTTTAAGTTAGCCGGCTGCAAGCCAAGGCTAACTATTGTGCTCTCCTGCTCCTTCACTTTTGTTTACTATCTTCTTTACTGGTATGTTCTAGTTTCAATTCAAGTCCCAACAACAATATGGTTCTTTTACTGCTTCGGTTCATCATGTTTCTAGTTTGCTTTTACTTATGGTTTTGCTGTGAAACTTGCAGTTAATATGATTACATGATTGGCATGTTATGTACTCCCCTTCCTCGGGATCAGTATGAACATGTTCCCCCCCCCCCCCCCCAATGTAGTCTGTCTTCATGTGATTTTGCTCTATCTAGTTCCTGGTATGAGTCTCCTTGTGAAGTAGTCTGCACTCCTAAACTTGTATGGTTCTTAGATTGATCTTAAATCATGTGGATCCTATACTGACCCCCCTTAAGCATTGTTGGTTCTGTAACTATGGCTGATCAGTTGTGTCTGAGCATGTCTGTACCAATTCCTAAGACCTTTTCTTGTTATGTGTTTACAATCACGTGCTCTGTGTATCCCCAATCCCCATCACCCCTGTATGTAGGTTCTTTCCTCATGTTTTGGTCCTGTGAGTATCACTGATGTGTTTTTGGGCTCCATGTTTGATTTGCTGTTGTCTAATCATGTACCTCTCTTTTTTCAGAGTTGTTTTACTACATGACTCCCTCTTTTATTCCACAAATTATTTTAAACAAACCTCCTTTTAATACTGTTTTCCTACTAAGACCTTTCAAATTGTGTCAAGCACTCTCATTTTACTCCTAAGTCAATAGGTTCTGCCCCCTCCAGTATGTATACTTCCTTGGGATCCTCTTGAAAACCCTCTGAACTCTGGCATACGGAGGTTGGCCCTTTCCACACTGCACTTATTCAATTTGGTTACCAAGTCTAGGTGTAAGCACTTCCCGGGATCCTTGAGATCCTTAGGGAACTTTGATGCACCTAGACTATGGCATTGTCTATGAAATTTGGGCATTTGAGGCTATTAGAGGTTTGGGGGAAATCACTTGGGCCTACTTCAGGCTCCCTATAGTGTAACTTCTTCTTTTTCTTATCTACAGTATGTAATTTGTTCATCTGGGTTGTAATAATTATTTGTAAACAGACATTAGGGTTGGCTAGTGAAAAGTGGAGGGTAGTTGCATATGTTATCAATATCAATGGGTAGAAACCATGCCTTAGGTTTACATTTCCTATATGCGCATTAGAATCCATGTCTAGGACCAATACATTCTAAGCATGTCAAGCATTAGATATCATGTTCTTAAGTTTACTGTTTCAGCATCTCATTTTGATATTCTTGCTATTCTTTAGAAATCCTGTTTCTAGGATAAAATGGCATTAAACAAAACTGCTACTCCTGTACGCTTGACCGCATGCTCTACAATACTGTAACCTTTTATGCATTTAGAAATCATGCTTTAGGAAATTCTTCATGATGTGCATTTAGAAATCCTGCTTTAGGAATTTTGCATATAAATCATTCTGCATTTTATATGCATATTAGATACCCTATTTTTAGGATCACGCTCACACTCACTTAGTCACACCTAGTTGAACTACTGACGCATGAAAAAAAGGACATAAAAATAGTCTCGCGTTTGATTATCCGCTTAAGTAAAATCGGTCATAATCCTGTATATCTTTGCAGCACGTAGAACAGCGTGCTTTAGGTAAAATAACTTCTAAATGGTTTTTATAACCCTGATAATTGTTGTGCATCACCCTACACCTAGGCAAGCCTTAGGTAATCAAGTCTCTTATAAAACTGGAAACTGCCTCGTTGTGTTTATTGCTTAATATCGTTCTAACTGGCTTAAAAATCGGTAGGCAAATTGATAGGGCTCCCACTCCTGAGTTTATAAACTACAGGTCTCGTGTGTTCGGATATTCCCTTAGATATCATGTCCTAGGATACTGATTAACAATATGGCCTTTATTTGTGTCTGAGTCGTGCTGTTTTATATGCATTAGCTGTGGAGGTGAACTTGAGCCCTTATCTGCTATTTCTTGCTTTTATTTGCCAAAGTCCTATGTGTTCTTGCTTGTCGCCTTAGTATCTTCTCCTTTAAAACCTTAAGGGTCTGTCTAGAACCACCTATAGTTAAAGGTCCTAAATCCCTCCAGGACCATTAAGAAGGGACGGGTAACATCAAGCGATAGAGATCGCTACCCAACACTCGCGCTAATAACCATTAAGGGGTGGGACGGGTAGATATGGATATGATGACCAGTGCGCTAATGCCATGTGTAGCCCCTTTCTAGGGAGTGATTATCGGGCATTGTACTGCTGTGATCCTATAGGCTAACCGACCTAGGACCCCTCTCTCCCAAATCCTCTTTACTTGAAAACTTTACTTTCCTTTTTATGCACACAACTTGTTTAAATTCTTGTCTTATTATTTGAGTTATACAATGCCCAACATGCTTTATTTGCAATTATTTACTTCAACTATTTATTTTTTAATGGACTAATTCGTAAGTATAAGTTCGGTCGGGACCCACCGTTGTGGACCGCGAGGGGTGCCTAACACCTTCCCCTCAAGGTTATTTCGAGCCCTTACCCTAAATCTCTGGTAATGCAAACCAATCCAAGAGTTAATCGCTCTAGGTGCCCTAACGCACCATAATCCGTTAGGTGGAGACTCTTCAAACCCAATTCTCAAAAGGAAATGAGTTACTACCCCCATGAATGTCGAAACCTGGACCTTCTTCCCCGTAAAAAGGGAGGAAAAAAGGGGGCGCGACATCTGGTATACCTAGGGTCAGGTGGGGTGCATTGACTAAGGACAAAAGGCCCAGGAGTTTCTGGCTATGGGGGCCTGGAGGAGTAGTGGGGACGCGAGTTGTATGTGGTCTATGACAGCAAATTGTATTAAAAAGGCGGCGAGAGAGGTGTTAGGGGTCTCAAAGGGTTTTTCTAGTGGCCGTAAAGGGGACTGGTGGTGGAACGAAGAGGTTCAGGGAAAAGTGGAAGCCAAGAAAGCGGCATATTTGAAGCTAGTAAAGAGTATAGACGAGGGGCAGAAGAGTGCTAACAGGGAGGGTTATAAGAAGGCTAGGAAGGATGCGAAGTTGGCGGTTACTGCGGCTAAGACCGCAGTGTTTAGTCGTTTATACGAAGAAATTGGGGATAAAGGCAGGGACAAGAAGTTGTACAGGCTAGCGAAGGTGAGGGAGCGGAAGGCCCGGGATCTGGACCAAGTGAGATGCATAAAAGATGAGGAGGGAAGAGTTTTATTGGAGGGGCCACATATTAGGCAGGGATGGCAGTCTTACTTCCATAAACTCTTGAATGAAGAGGGAGATAGGGGCATTGTGCTGGGGGAGTTGGAGTACTCGGAGCGACAGCGATATTTTGGATACTGTAGATGCATACGAGTGGGGGAGGTTGTAGGGGCAATGCGCAGGAAGAGCAGGGGTAGAGCGACTAGACCGGATGAGATTCCGGTGGAATTCTAGAAGAGTGTGGGTAAGGAGGGCTTGGAATGGCTTGCTAGGTTGTTTAACGTCATTTTTAGGACGAAGAAGATGTGCGAAGAGTGGAGGCGGAGTACGATGATCCCGTTGTACAATAACAAGGGGGATGTCCAAAACTGCAATAACTATAGGGGTATCAAGTTGTTAACCCATACGTTGAAAGTGTGGGAGAGGGTAATTGAAGGGAGGTTGAGGAGGTGTGTGTCTATTTCTGAGAACTAGTTTGGTTTCATGCCGGGAAGGTTGACTACTGAGGCCATTCACATTGTGAGGAGGTTGGTGGAGCAGTATAGGGAGGTGAAGAAGGATTTGCATATGGTGTTCATTGACCTGGAGAAAGCCTATGACAAAGTCCCGAGAGAGGTTCTATGGAGATGTTTGGAGGCTAGAGAAGTGCCTGTAGCGTATATTAGAGTGACTCAGGACATGTATGATAGAGCTAAGACACGGGTTAGGACAGCAGAAGGAGACTCTGACTACTTTCCGGTTGAGATGGGGTTGCATCAGGGATCAGCACTTAGCCCATTTTTGTTTTCCTTGGCGATGGATTCGTTGACGCGTCACATTCAAGGGGAGGTGTCTTGGTGCTTGTTATTTACGGATGACATAGTTCTGATTGATGAGACGTGAGGTGGCGTTAGCGAGAGGTTGGAGGTTTGGAGACATACTCTGGAGTCTAAGGGTTTCAAGTTGAGCAAGACCAAGATAGAATACTTGGTGTGCAAGTTAAGCAGTGTTACCCAGGAGGCGGACGGAGATGTGAGACTCGATACGCAAGTCATTCCCAAGAGAGAGAGTTTCAAGTATCTGAGATCTATAATTCAGAAGCATGAGGAGATGGATAAGGATGTCACACACCGTATCGGAGCAGGGTGGATGAAGTGGAGGCTCGCTTATGGAGTCTTGTGTGATAAGAATGTGCCATTGAGACTTAAGGGTAAGTTCTACAAGGTAGTGGTTAGATCGACTATGTTGTATAGGGCAGCGTGTTGGCCAGTCAAAAACTCCCATTTCCAGCAGATGAAAGTAGCCAAAATGAGGATGTTGAGATGGATGTGCGGGCATACTAGGTTGGATAGAATTAGGAATAAAGTTATTCGGGACAAGGTGGGAGTGGCCCCTGTGGAGGCAAAGATGCGTGAGGCAAGGTTGAGATGGTTCGGGCATGTTAAGAGGAGAAGCACAGATGCCCCGGTCAGTGGATGTGAGAGGTTGGCCGTGGGAGGTGAGAGGAGGGGTAGAGGTAGGCCAAAGAAGTCTTGGGGAGAGGTGATCAGGTGGGACTTGGCGTAGCTTGAGCTAACCGAGGACATGACCCTAGATAGAAGGGTGTAGAGGTTGTAGATTAGGGTAGAAGGTTAGTAGGTAGTCGTGTGTTTTCCTTTGTCTTCTCTAGTTCGATAGTATTAGTGCTAGTACGGTATCCCTTTTTTTCCTTAGTTTGCTAAATCTGCATGACTTGTTCCGTTATTACTTGCCATCGGTAATTCCGTAGTTTGCTAGCAGTACTTTGTTCATATTCCGTTTGCTGCCTTGGATTTAGTTTTCTAAATATACTAACTTGCTATTACTTGCTATCAGTACCCCTTTCATATTCTCTGTTGCTATCTTCGATTTAGTTTTCTAATTATTTGTCTTGCTATTACTTGCTAACAGGCTTCTTTCACTTTCTTTAGCCGAGGGTCTATTGGAAACAGTCTCTCTGCCCTGCCAGGGTAGAGGTAAGGCTGCGTACATCCTACCCTCCCCAGGCCCCACTTGTGGGATTATACTGGGTGGTTGTTGTTGTAGTAGTAATAGGAAATAAAAACTTGAAGAAAAATGAAATTGATTACTTAAAAAAGAAAACCAATAAAATATTTTTGGTAGAAAAGTTGTACAGTTTTATTCAACTAGATTTTATAAGTATCATTCCTTTTCGCTTCCTTCCTCCATCTCTTTAGCTCTTATTATTTTGTAATAACAAAAGAAAGAAACATCGGTTCACTTGCATTTAGGTTCCTCTTTTGTAAGTTCTAATTATTATTTCTTAATAGATTTATCTATCTTGAATGATAATTTGACGTGTTTATAATTTTGGAATACTTCATATATGGTCATTAGGGGTGTTCATAAAAACCCAAAAAATCGAACCAAACCGAAAACCAAACCAAACCGACCAGAAAAACCGATACTTTTTGGTTTGGTTTGGTTTTGATTTTGAATTTTAAAAAACCGATTAAATTTGGTTTGGTTTTGATTTTAATCAGAAAAAATCGGAAAAAAACCGAACCAAATCGACTATAGGAGTAGCTATTTCAAATTTATTATTACACCTATATATATGTATATTTTTATACAAAGTTTAAAAAACTTAATGGTCATGTTAATAGTTTGCACTTTTAGTATAGTTCTTTACCTTCACATTCTAGTTTCATTGGTAGTTTTCTTTTGTTAAGCGTAAGAATCCAATTCATGTTAAAAATAATATATTTTTAATTGAGTCCTTAAATTATTCATCACTATTTGATTCAATTATCATCAATATATCTTGGTAAATAATAAATTTCTCAAATGGCAATTGATTTGATAGTGTTAAGTTGAAAATGTGGTTGCCGGAATATGTGTTTGGTAGTGTATGGCTTATATTTAAGAAAAAACCGACAAATAACCGAAAAAACCGACAAAACCCGACATAAACCGAATCGAAAAAAAACCGACTTAATTGGTTTGGTTTGGTTTGGTTCTAATATTTGAAAAATCGACTTACTTGGTTTGGTTTCTTTTAAGGGAAAAACCGTTTCAAACCGAACTATGAACACCCCTAATGGTCATTATGGTGCTAGTTTACAATTATTATTTTTTGAGGAAAAATATGAAAAGTATTTTCATAGACTGTTATAGAGGATTCCAAAATGATTTTGTATTAATAATAGTTGGCGTTGCTTCTTATAATTAGTCTTGCCAATATGTAGAGTAGGAACCAAAATGATCTTATGTTTGATACTTGCGCAATTTTAGTAGTGTACGGTCTTTATTTTATATTTTTACTCGTCTTGATTTGTAGTCTATGTGACTGAATTTAGTTTATAAGTATACAAGCATCATTCTAGCGATGTGCTCCTGTTAATACATTTCCTTAGTCCTTACCTACATTATAATATAGTTTCGTGGCATTCTATTTAAAAGATATTTGCAGTACACCTTATTAATCTTTTGTTTTTCTAGTTATGCCACTAGTAACTACCTTAGGGATCTTGAACAAACGCTTATTGACGAATATAATACCATATTGAAATAGGAGGAAGACTATTGGAAATCAAGATCTAGGGTAACTTGGCTAAACAATGGCGATGCAAATATAAAAAAAGTTCATATGAAGGCAACCAACAGAAGAAAGAAAAACAACATTGTTTTCTTAAAAGATGATAATGGGAATTGGATAGATGACCAAATTTCTCTAATGAACCATACAAGGAATTATTTCTTAAATATTTTTACAACCTCCCATGTAAAAATTGATTGGTCGATTATCAAAAGTGACAAGGAAAACTTTCATAATATTGACCTCTCAATCCTTGATGATCCTTTAAGAAATCATAAAATAAGGAAAGTCTTCTCCTTTAAACCATACAAAGCTCCAGGTCCGGACGGGTTGCACTCCTTTTTCTTTCAAAAATATTGGCACATTATATGCAAGGTCATAAATTTGTGTCAAAAAAATTTTCAAACAAAAAAAATGCCACCGGACATCAATAACACTTACCTATGCCTAATCCCCAAATTCAATAATACAAACAATCTCAAGAACTTTCGGCTTATAAGCCTACGTAACACCATCTACAAAGTTATAACAAAAATCATTGTCAATCGAATCAAGCCCTTCCTACACCAACTTATCAACCAACAACAATCTAGCTTTTTAAAAAAATAGTTGGGTTAGTGATAATGCTATCGTTATCCAAGAAGTCATGAAGAAGATCAATTCATCAACGGGCAGGCTTAGCTTAATCCTTAAGATTGATTTGGAGAAGGCTTTTGATAAATTAGAATGGTCTTACATTTACAGAACTTCAAAATTTTTTTAAATTCCCTCCAAATATTTTTTCTGTAATTATTAGTTGCATCTCAACTAGTACTATATCCATTCTAGTGAACGGAAACAAAATAAAAGAATTCTTCCTACAAGGAGCATAAGACAAAGCGACCCCATGTCCCCATGCCTATTCATCTTATGCATGGATATGCTCTCCAAAAATATTAAAAATCAAGTAGACATCAGGAATTGGGATCCTATTAAATTAAACCCTAGAAGCCCTCCCATATCTTATCTATTCTTTTCAGATGATTTAACCCTGATGGGGCAGGCAAATGAAAAAACAATTCACACAATTTGGTGGAGCATGGATAGTTTTTGTAACTATTGTGGGTTGAATATCAATAGAGAAAACTCGAAGCTAATTATCTCCAAAAATTGTGAAGCTTAAACCAAAAACCTTTTGACCAGTTTCTTTGACATAAAAATTAGTAATAATTTTGGGATATACCTAGGATTCTCAATACTCAATAATAATCCAAAGCACAAGGATTATCAATTCTTGATTGATAAAATGAGAGCAAGGCTAAACAATTGGTATGCTAGGTGGTTAAGCATGGCTGGTAGAACTACCTTAGTATCCTCTACCCTCAACACCATTCCAAATCTCCTCATGCAAATATCCCTTCTACCTAATAAAACACTCAAAGAAATCGAAAAAATACAAAGGGACTTCTTATGGGGTACTACTGCTGTTTAGCCAAAAATATATCTTTCGGTCAAAGACTAATTTTAGAAGAAAACGGGCTTCTGATAACCAAGTTTTGCTTCACTTTCTCAACAGTATCAAATAAAAATAAATAAGGAAGTAATTGATTGCATGATCAAAGCAGAGAATTTCGAGAAAGCAGAAAAGTAAAGTGTATGTTTAAATATTATCTCAGATGTGTCCTTACAAATAAAATTATGTGCCTTTATATAGGAGTAAAATAGTGACGATTTTCCCCCATAATTTGTGCTAATTATGGACATTAATGATATTGATTGCCCTCTATTTTGGATTCTCATAACCGATGCATTTATTGTTATAAATGCCTTACATCTGTTATGATTCCCCTTCCTTATTTCTTTCTGGTCCATGTATCTTTCCTTCTTTCTATTACTTATTCATTCTTTGCCAGTTGTTAGGCCTGGTACTGTCTCGTGGGTTTTCTTCTTGTGCCTTTTCTTACTCTATCAAATAAGACTGCCACGTGTTGTTATATTATTGCTCTTCGTGTTATGCCATGTCAGGAGTCTAACGTTCCACGTGTAGCCCTTTTTCACCACCAATACATATAGTCCCCTCACTTTCTTGAATATTCTCTACTGAATATTCGGGGAAGTGGAAGGTTTTTATGGCGGGAATTCTCTGTCGCCGTTTTTGAATATAATCATATCCTTTTCTGAACCGATGTGACGTTCATCACTTTTATTTAATGATCATGCCACATGGCTTTTAACAACTGGTCATTCAGTTCTTCAACGTCTTTTAGGTTTTTCCTGCAACCGCATCAACCACGAAGTGACGGTTCCATTATGACGCTTCATAATGACCTCAATAGTCGTGTCTTCC